AAATTCAATATAGATATATCATATAATCCAACAACCCCACTCCTACACATTTACCCAAGTTGAAATCAGGATCTCGAAAAGATATTTGCACTCCTATGTTCACTGCAGCATTATTCACAAGAGCCAAGACGTGGAAGCTACTCACATACCCCATTGATAGATGGGTGGATAAAGAAAATGTACTATGTGCCCACAATGGTTTATTCAGCCTCAAAAAAGAAGGAAACCCTGCTACATGTGACCATGTGCATGAAACTTGAGGGCATTATGTGAATAAACCATTCACATGGGACAAATACTGCAGGATTCTGCTCCTATGAGGAATCCAAAATAGTCAAACACAGAGAAGCAGAAAGCGGAATGGTGGTTGCCAGGGATTAGGGGGAGGGGAAATGGGGGACTGCTATTCAGTGGGTGTAAAGTTTCAGTTATGCAAGATGACTAAATTCTAGACATCTGTACATTTTTGTCTATAGTTAACAATACTGTATTGTATACTTAAAAAATTTGATAAGAGGGTAGATCTCATGTCAGGTGTTCTTACCGCCAAAAACAAACAAGAAAACCACCCCCCAAAATCCCCTATAAACCCACACAAAAAGGTAGAAGTGTATTTGAGGACCAGAGTAGCTCTTTCCACTGCACTTCTGAACTCCGAGGGTAGGTGAATGGCAGTGGTGCATTCAACCTTGAAGGGCTAAGCATGTCCTGACCCAGCACACCGGGGCCGGCTGTGGCTGAGCACAATGCTGTGTGTGAGAACAGGCAGAGGGACTGGGGCGCAAGGGCCGGGCACTGATCAACACCCAAACATACGCCCCCCCACCAAACCTCATCACAGCTCTGGGAGGTGGGGATTATTACTCAACAAATGTTTTTAATCGAAGCGTCATCAACATACAATGCTACATTAGTTTCGGGTGTACGACATATGGATTCAACAATTCTATACCTTACTCGGTGGTCACCATGGTAGTACCAGGTACAGTCACCACCTGAAGTTGGAGTTATCATCAGCTCCCTCTCGAAGATGAGCTTGGAGTTCAGGGGATGGTCAAGGTTACAGGTGTGCGCATGCAAGAGGCAGGGCTTGAGGTCCATGGAAGAAAGAGTCTACAGACTCCTTCCCTCACTGTTGAGTGAAGTCTTTGTTAGTCCGCTCTCCATTGTATTCTAGTAAAATTGAACTCCGTGGGCCTCCTAACAGAATTCTAGAGATTAGCCCTAAAAATACAAGTCTTCAATAAGTCACAAAGGGAGTCTCGGAAAGATGTGGCAACACTCCCGCTCTGACAGATGTGGGGGTAGATGTCATTCCGCATCATAAAACTAAGCCAAATGATCCAGTAGGACAAGGTATTAAGATCTTTCTTAACATCAGTTTGCTTCTGAGTAAAACGAAGATTTGCACAAACGTTTGTAACTAGTACCAATTTTGTTTGTTTGTTTTCTGTCAATATAATCTGCTCTTGCAAGTGTTATTTGGGATTTTGTTAAGTCTCCCAAGACTTTAGAAATTGTTGCTACACCGCATAAAAATTACCTCTGAAAATAAACTGTCGTTCTGATTGCTTGCTGCTCTGGGTTGAACTGTATCCCCCACCTCCACCCCCCCAAAAAAGATGTTGAAGGCATACCTCCCAGTACTTCTGAATGTGACCTTATTGCCAAATGAGGATGCAGACGATCAAGCTGAAATGACATCACTAGGGTGGGCCCTAATTCAACACGATAGGGTCCTTCTTAGAAGGGGACCTTTGGACACGGATTCAGACACACACACACACACACACACAGATGCAAAGGCATGGAGAGAATGTCATCTGCAAGCCCAGGGACACCTGAGGCTACCAGAAGCTATGAGAGGCATGGAAGTCTCCCCAGTGCCCTGGGAAGGAGCCAACCCTGCAGACACCTTGATCTCAGATTTCTGGCTTCCAGACTGTGACACAATACATTTCTGTTCTTTCGGCCCCCCAGTTTGTTGGGGGCAGACCCAGGAAACTAATACAGCTGTCTTGAAAATAAAGTAGCAATCACTGTACCTCCTTATCAGTAAGGTTTGTTCAATCAAGACAGGATTACAAGGCCCGTGTCTCTTCTCCTACATGCACAATGGAGAACATTAATATTCTCTAACTTGAGTCTGCTTCATTGACACGGAGAGCCCTGCTCTGATGACACGCCCAGGGTTCTTCGATCACCCACAGCTGCACGCAGGCACATGAAGCATTGACTACCCGTTTCTTTTTCTTCCGTGGTTAGCCTGTTTGCTATTGGCTGTTCTTTTCATTATTCATTTGTAAGCATCCTTTTTAAAAATTAGGATGTTTTAGATGTTGCAAATATTTTCTCCCAATGTCACTTATCTTTGTTCAGTTTTTAAACAGCAGTATTTCCCATAGATATTTGAAAATTTTCACGAGGGCAAGTATATCAGCCTTTTCCTTTATGGCTTTTGAATTTCATGTAGTGCTTAGGAAGGCTTTCTCCATTCCAAGATCATGACAATCCCCCCATTTTTCCCCAATATTTTTATAGTTCCATTTCTTCTTTAGGAATCAGACTTCGTGTTCCCTGATGGACAGCTAACTGATCTAGCACCATTAACTGACTAATACCACCCCTCCTGCTGATGTGGAATGCCACTTTCATCATAAATTCTTAAAGGTAACAGAGGTCAGTTTCTGGCCTCGGTTCATATTATGACTTCACGGTGCCTTTCTTCAGCAACGGGCCACAGAAATGCACTTGCACGGATTCTGCGTGGCCAGATGGTGGCCGCCTGGAGGACATGCGCAGACTGCCCCCTGGGGGCTACCAGTGAGCTCCAGGCCTTTGTTGCGATGCAAAGACGTGGGCCTGGCGTGGCCAGGTTTTCCAAGTTTTCAAGAGGTGTACATGCAATCTCGTTTTGAGAGTGATGGTGGTGACTGTTTTAAGTTTCACACACAAACCACATCTGCACCCTGAAAGCATCTGGTAGTGCCCCAGTAGCCTCTGTTCCAGATGCCGAAACGCAGAGTAAGGCCACGCCAGGTCTCGGTGTCCACTTCTAACTCTCTCCCACCACCAATATTATGAAATAAAAGGGGAAGGAAGAGTGGCGATGCAGCAGCTCAGGAAACCTGGGTTATCTGTAGCCCCTCCCCAGTGAAGGCGGGGATGCTGTGCTTCATCTCACCTCTCACCCGCATGGTCCATGATGCAGTTCCTGGTTTGCCCGGCAACCATGAGGTGGGAGGTCAGCATGAAGGTGGGTAACAACAGTCGAGCCAGGCCTCCGAGAGACCCTGCCAGGTGACAAAGGAGCAATGCAGAGTGAGGTCCCGGCCAAGGATGGAGCAAGATCGTGGCCCCCAGAACGAGGTGGAAGGTGCGATCACCTCCTTCCTAATAATAATCATGTAGCCTCCCTGTAACACTGTTTAACCAGCAAAGGAAGGGCAGAGGCCTTCAACTTTCACGTGGGGGACGGGCCCCACTGGTAGCAAGGACAACTCATGTGGTAGAACTTCAGTGTTTAGACAAAGCCCTTCACAACCCTGTGAAGCACGCAGTGTCTCCCCCTCTGTAGGTAGGGGTAGGTCCTGCCCCTTATGGAGGAGGAAACCGGCTTGAGGGGCCATCAGTATGAGCTTTGGATGGCTCCAGGATATGCGGGAAGGGTGCATGGGGGAATAAAGACCAGGCCCCTCTCCTTCCCGTGCCCATCTCTGCAGAACCATTCGTTCCCATGACAAATCCTTACTGAACACCTCCAACGGGCTAGGCAATTGTCTAGGCCGTGGGAACACAGGAGTACACAGATCCAGGGCATTATCCTTCTCCTTGGCCAGGTCAGTTCTCCTTACCCTGAACCATGACCCAGACTGGCCCTTGCTCTAGTCTTCTCTGGCCAGAGCAGGGACCTCTGGCCCATGTTTGCCCCTTGCTCCAGAGCCCCTGGTGACTGGTCATTTCCTGGAATGTACTGACCTCTTCCAGAAAGACATGCTTTTCTATTCTTGAGGCAGAGACAACTGGCAGACTCAGACCCAAATCCCAGCCATGTCTTAATTCTGGCCAACTTTTAAAATATGTTCCAGGCAGGTCACACCATTCCCTAGGCGTGCCATTCTGAGAGCAGGGATGGCACCTACGGTTTTTCTTGAAGCAGGAAATAGAGTGCAGGTGCCAAGGTGGCCAGTCTCCAGGGTATGCTGGACCAACCTCTTTTCTTGTTACTTGTCCTTCATCTACATCTTTTCCTCTGATGCTCCCAATTTTTGGGATATTGCCTGAGGAGCAGGATTTGGCAGGAGAAGGAATGCATGGTAGATATATGGAGGGCACAACCACCAGCTCTATACACTTGAGACCCCATCAGTTCATGTTCTGCAGGCAAATATACTCCTCTTCTGACTGTAGTTGGTAGAACTCTGTCCCCCAGAAAGATATGCCCAGGGCCAAACCCCCAATACCTGCGAATCTGACCTCACTTGGAAAAAGGGTCTGCAAATATAATTAAGGGGAAGCTCTCGAGATGAGATCATCCTTGACTGGGGTGGGCCTTAAACTCAATGACATGGATTTGGTATCCAATAGTGTCCTTCTAAGAGATGGAAAAGGAGAACACACTGAGACAGAGGGGAGAAGTCCAGGTGGAGACCCACAGAAAGACGAGGCAGAGACTGGACTTGTACAAGCCAAGGATTGCCAGCAACCACCAGAGAAAGGAGAGAGGCATGGAATGGATTCTTCCTCAGGGCCCCCAGAAGGAGCAAACCCTGCTGACACCCTGATTCTGAACTTTTGGCCCCCAGAACGATGAGAGAATAAATTCCTGTTGTTCTAGGCTGCCAAGGTTGTGGTCGTTTGTCATGGTGGCTCCAGGTCACAGACCCGACCCGTTTTTCCCCTTTGAGCAAGGACTGCCATGGACAATTTGACCGATGGGAGAGTCCAGCCTTCATGTTCCTTTCCCCAGGGAATTTGGCAGCATTTCCCAGATGGCCTGGTCACCAGCAGAAGAAGGCCCCCTGTGAGGTGCTGGGCTCTGCAGCTTCCGGAGCGGTGGGATTGAGGTCCTCATCCATATCAGATTTGTCTGCTCCAACCTCAGCCCTTTCTTCCTGCCTGATCCAAAGGCTACTTTCTAGCTGTTCTTCGGCAATTTCCAGGTCTTCCTCTGTTTGTAAGACAGCCACGGTTTCCTGGGGTAAGTCTGAGGAATACAGCCCGAGTTTAGCCTTAAAACCAAACATTGCTTCGTATGGACTTCGCTGCAAGGACACGTCAAACAGCTGATTCCTCACCATCTGCATGAATCTCAGGCCTTCGGCCCAGCGACGTGAGCGGTTACTCTGCATCCAGGCATTTATCATGTTCTTGACGTCACGGCTGGCTTGCTCCAGGGAGCCCGGGCCCTGGCCAGGGTGCTGCTTACCACAGACAATCTTTAGGTCCGGCCATACCTCATTAAGCTCATGAACAACCTGGTTTGTGAACTCCACGCCACTGCCAGAGTCTAACACACTAGGTGTACCAAGAATCGTGAAAATGTCCAATAGGACACTGACCACCTCATGGGCCTGCTTCGCTTTTAACGGCCGTAAAATAATAAACTTGGTCAAGTGGTCCTGGTAATATAAAATAAACTTGAACTCACCATCGGCATTTGACTGCATGTCAAGTACTTCAACTTGGCACCTGGAGTCAGTGTCCTTAAAAGCCACGGGCCTGGAGGCAAGACCTCTCTTGGGTACTGGGTTCTTCTGGTGGCACTGTTCACAGAGTGTCAGATACAAGACAATGACCTCTTTGGTGACATTCCCATATTTTCCTTGTAGCTCCTTGAGCATGCGTGTCCGCCCGCCATGCCCAATATTGAGATGCGTATCATGGAGAATATCAAACAACTCCTCCTTATGCACGTAATACCGAATTCGGTCCTGTTCTCCATGGGTCGCCTCTATTAGTTTCTCTGTGCCTTGCACAGAGATCACGTCATATTTTGCTGCACGGCGGTAGTCACGCGAGGACTTCTTCCCCTTTTCCTTAGCTTCTTTGACTTCCTTTATCGTTTGAAAGTACTTTTCTTTGGAAAATACCTTGCTATTGTAACTTTTGCTTTCTACTAACTTTGTCACGCTTTTAAGAAACTTTTCTCTCATGTTATGTATCTCCATTTCCAGATCACTTGTAGTGGAAACACCAGGGGGGTCATTTCCAGCTTTCTGGGGCATCATGGAGAACTGTAAGAAGGAGCCAAGGAAAGGGAGAGAGAAAACAGAGTTAAAATCGCCGATATTCCCTCTAGGAGACTTTCCCTCCGAAGTTCCTCATTCTTCCACCTGATTTTTGAAGACTCCCACACAGAAGAAAGATAACATAGTATAAAGCAATAACAGAATAAAGCAACTAGAAAGCCAACTAAGATTGCTCAAAACCAGAGCAGGTCGAAAGAATTTTAAGTAAGACATATATAGAAATATGTAGTAATTTTAGACTTCAGGCAAACAGAATAAATGAAACTGTTAGCTCATAAAGTGAAACCTAATTAACTGGTCTTTATTTATTAATTTAACAGGAGAGAGGATACATGGAAATGCTTAAGGCAGTAGACAAATATCCTCCCTCAGTAACTTTTAAAATAATATAAATGGGAGAATGTTGCTGGAAGGCACCACATGATAAGAGCAAACTCTGAACTTGAAGTTAGGAAGGCTAAAAAGCCAACATAATTAAAAAAAAAATTTTTTAAAGATTTTATTTATTTGAGAGAAAGAGTGAGTGAGAGAGAGAGAGAGCTCATGAGCAGGGGGAGAGGGAGAAGCAGGCTCCCCACTGAGCAGGGAGCCTGATACGGGACTCGATCCCAGGACGCTGAGGTCATGACCCGAGCCGAAGGCAGCTGCTTAACTGACTGAGCCACCCAGGAGCCCTCAACATAATTAATTTCTTGTGGTTGAAGAGTCTGTCCTCATTTTAGGAGAATCAAGGAGAAAGTAGTGGGAAATTTCTGAATGATAGTTTTCTCCTTTTGACAGTACACAGGGTTAGTGAATGAAGATTCTGAGTCCTTACCCTGAGGGACCACATTCTCATAACTGTCCAGCATTGTGTCCCTGCAGCAGACCTTTCAAACACTTCCAATCTTTGGTCATCTCCTCAAATGTCACTACCTCTTGAAATGACACCAGCTGCTACCACAGGGACCATTCCTGGGGCCTGGGCTAAGGAGCGGCCGCAGCAGGACTGGAGGAGAGACAGTGGAGGGTACCAGGAATGAAGGCATGCCAGCATAAATGACTTGGAATGTGAGTCACGTGAATATTACAAGGAAGGTAACAGAAGTAAGGACATGGTCTCCTATCCAACCAGATGAGTCCAGCTTTGTGGGTGAGAAAAACAAGTTCTGCTCTCCTGGGAGGTCTGTTTTGACACTGCCTGAGCTGAGGCCCACATACTTCCAGAACAAAGCAGAGAGTCCAAGTGAACTTGAGTATTCCAAGACTAGGAGAAACCTTCCAGCACAGGCTTGATGGCCCTGAACAGAGATAGCAGGATCTGTTTCCAGAAATGGAAAAACTGTACCTATGTGCAGAGAGATTTGTCAGGAGATTATCATGTCAAAAAGAGGTATGCCAGATGGTCCACACTGCACCAAGATTGGAGAATTCCAATCTTGAGATTCCTTAGGACCACTCCAGGTTGTAGGATGGTGATGCGGCCAGGGAAAGAGTTCACATGATGATAACAGGAATAACAACAATCGGGGGAAAACAAGATCCCTGGAATCCCAGCCATCAGATGCAGAGCCGAGGGGCAGGGCAGAATCCTGAAAAGCAGAGAAAGATGAGAAGGTTTCAAAGCTCTGAGCAAGAGTCTTGGTTAAGCTGAGGTCCTGAAGGTTCTCCATTAAAAAGGCTTCAAACACCTGTGCTCAGCATCACTGGATTCTAAGACCTGCTAACTATAAAACCACTGACTTTCTGATGACTTTCTTTTGAGGGGAAAAAGCAGAGAACCTACATTAAATGAACACATCCAAATTAACTATCTTGGAAAACATACATTTTAGTGTTGAAGAAATAGAATGTTTGCAATGTTTAAGTCTGAGCTCAGGATCCTCAGTGTAAACAGACATTTTAAAGGCTCTGAGGGGGTACCTGGGTGGCTCAGTTGGTTAAGTGTCTGACTCTGGTTTTGAGCTCATGTCATGATCTCAGGGTCCTGGGGATGGAGCCCCACGTGTGGCTCCACATCAGCACAGAGTCTGCTTGAGATTCTCTCCCTCTGCTCGTGAGCGCCTTCTGTCTCTCAAATAAAGAAATCTTTAAAAAAAATAAAGGCTCTGAGGGCACCTGGGTGGCTCAGTTGGTTAAGCAACTGCCTTCGGCTCAGGTCATGATCCCAGGGTCCTGGGATCGAGCCCCACATTGGGCTCCCTGCTCAGCGGGAAGCCTGCTTCTCCCTCTGCCTGCCACTCCCCCTGCTTGTATGCTGTCAAATAAATAAAAATATTTTAAAAAATAAATAAAGGCTCTGAGAAGTTCTGCAGTAAATTGTTTCATCTACTAGTCAAAATTATTTATTGATTTTTAAGACTTATCTGAGAGAGAGAGAGAGAGGGACTGTAAAGGAAGGAAAAGCCTCATCTCCATCCTATAAAAGAATGAAGACAGGCTGGAAATAATTTATTATCAAAAGATGCAAAATCTCAGTCTTTAATATGAGATACGGTCCTTATACTGTGCCGGGTAAAGCCACAGTTAGCTAACAGACCTATTTTGGTTAGTCCATCAGTGTTTGTTTTTTGAAGAATGAGAATGATTTACCTATACGTTCAGATGGCGGGGATTTCATAGAAGAATCTTGACCGATCTTCTTGGATTTTGGGACCATCTGGCCACCCTGGGAGCTTTGCTGCTTGGCAGGCTGCAGCTCTGGTTAGAAGAGCCTGCACTCTCCTGTTTCCCGGTGTCCCCAAGGGCCCTAACTTGTCCGCCTTATCTGCCCATCCCTGCGGTTATCTAGGTTTTCAACACCTGTTCCACAGCAGCATGAAAGAACTGTGTTGAACTTCCTGGTGTGATCTGTGACGGTGGGGTAACTGATAAACGACCTTGGTTAGAGCAAACTGGAGCCATCTCCCTTCCTCACCCACCTGGGAGTCTTTGCTTTGGCATCCCAGACCTGGCAGGTCCTTTCATCGATCTTGCGAATCCCGCCCAGCTCAACTCAGTCGCCTTCCTGATGCATTCAGCGACTCCAATTGCCACCTCTCCGTCCTCTGGAAAGCCCGGGCTCTGGAGCACTTTATTTTGCATTTGTAGTCGACTGGTTCAGGTGTACACAACCTAGCAGGTAAGGGCTGAGCCATCTACCGGGCGGGATTCCCTCAGAGGGCCAAGGGATTCAGAGCCGAGGCAAGAGATGCTCAGAGGACGTTAGGCAGACACTTCGCGCACAGGTGCAGCAGCGAGGCCGCGCACGGGGAGGGCAGAATTACTGGGGCGTCAGCTCCCTCAGCCACAACAGGGAGAGGTACTGGTTTCCTGATGCAGACGCGGGGATAACACAGATGAAGCACTTAGCAGAGCTTCCCCGCACCTCCCGGCAGACACCTCGCCCGCTCCTGGAGACCTGCTGCGGGAGCCGCCTCCCCCGCGTGCGTGGCCTTCCTCCCTGCACCCCCGCGGGCTCGGCGCGCCCCCACCCCTCCGCGAGGGCGGCCAGTTCGGGGCTGAACCAATGAGCGAGGCCGGGGAGAGGCGGGGAGGGCCGGCGGTCCTCGAACCCAGGCCGGTCGGCAGGGGGATGAGGGAGGCCCGGGAGAGGCGGGGAGGGCCGGCGGTCCTCGAACCCAGGCCGGTCGGCAGGGGGATGAGGGAGGCCCGGGCGGTGAGGGGGATACGTCGGGGCCTTCCCCTCTCACCCCACCGCTGGCCCGCTGGCCCGCTGGCCCGAATCCAGCCGCCGCCACACCTCCCGCCCGCGCCGGCGCCGGCGCTCGCACCGGAAGCCGCTCCGCGCCGGCCGGAAGCCCCGCCCCCGACGCCGCGGGCCGCCCGGCATCCTTTCCACGCTCCGGACGGGGTCCCGCGAGGGTCCTGCGCCGCCTGTCGCTTGGCGGTCGCTGGGGCTGGGGGTACCTGCGGCAGGCCTGCGCAGAGCGAGCCACTGACCCCGGTCCCCCGCGGCAGAACCGGTGATTTTCCCCACGTTGTTGCAAAGCCTGCAGCCTGGAAAGTTAGGAAAGTAAGCTGCAGGGGTCTCTGACTCTGGGACGCCTGGGTGGCTCAGTCCGTTAAGCGTCTGCCTTTGGCTCAGGTCGTGATCTCGGGGTACCGGGATCGAGTCCCACATCGGGCTCCCTGCTCAACGAGGAGCCTGCTTCTCCCTCTGCCTGCCGCTCCCCCTGCTTGTGCTCTCTCCCCCTATAAATAGAATCTTAAAAAAAAAAAAAAAAATGGAAGCCTCACCTAAAACGAGTCCAACTACGGCACCTCTTTACGGAGTCCCGGGAGCCCTGAGAACGTTTCAGATGAACGTTTCTTACTTCAAACTGCAACCTAAGCATTTCCGCTCTGAGATTTTGGCATGATGGCAGCCCTCCGAGCAGCATCAGCGCACGCAAGACGGTAGAGAACAGCTGGGGACAGTGGTCCAGGCGCTACTGCGAATCACAGCAGCTCCTCGCTTCTACACAAGCAATGTCCCTTTTACGCAAAAAACCGTGGGGGTACGCCACATGCACACCTACATAGTCGTCGCCCAACACAGCAGGTTCAAGGCAGTAGCCCACAGGGCTTTTTATCTGGGCCTTCTCAGTGAGCCGTATGTCCCTCTAATACCACCTGCTGTAAAAATGAGGAAAACCCCACTATCAGTCCCAGTTTCAGAATTTTGTTACTTTCGATGATTAAAGAGCTGGTGCCCAAATGGAAAAACCCACTCTACTTAAACAGGATTTTTCTTTAGCAGAATCAAGCCACAGGACCGGGCAGCCTGCCTCCAGGGAGCAAATGCCACCTACTTCCCCAAAAACCCATCCACTGGAAGGGAGGTGGTGTTCCCCAAGCACTGCACAGAAAGCAAAGGCTCTTCATTTTAACAGTTTTTATTTCAAGTCGCATATAAGATTATTTTACTCCTGCATCTTCTCAATTGTTTCTTCCTTATATTTGCCCTTTTCCTTTCCTACTTGGCGAGATTTGGCTTTACGTTCAAGGATCTTTTTGCGGTCTTTGTCCAGTTTTAGTCTGGTGATAACCACCTGCAGAAAAACAAAACACTTCTAAGCTTTACACAGTTACCAGCTTCACAAGCTAACCAAGTCATACACGTTGTTGTTTCTACTATTACTTGAGAATCATCAAGTTGGAATGTAAATGTAGCTTCGACCCACAAAACCACAGTACAGATCTTGCTGTGACCAATCTAATTGTTAAAGGTCTCCAGATGATGGTAGATTTAGGTCTTAGGAAGGAAGGTGAGGAACAGGGGAAAAGGGCACTAAACAAGGTCTGGGAACACAGCATAACGACCAAAAGAGAAAATCTCTGCCATCATGGAGACTGTACTTTATTTATTTTTAAAGATTTTATTTATTTGGCAAAGAGAGACACAGCGGGAGAGGGAACCCAAGCAGGGGGAGTGGGAGAGGGAGAAGCAGGCTTCCTGCCGAGCAGGGAGCCTGATGCGGGGCTCAATCCCAGGACCCCAGGATCATGACCTGAGCCGAAGGCAGACACTCAACAACTGAGCCACCCAGGGAGAGGGAGCCAACCCACTGCCCTGAACCTGTACTTTAGTATGGGGACAGAGAAAACAAAGTAACTGGATATACATCAGGCTCTGATACACAGAAAAACAGGGCAACATGGGGGAGGACAGGTGGCGAGCAGGGGCTAAGTCCTACGGGGTGACTAAAAAAGGTCCTACAGACAAGGCCACATGCGGACACCTGAAACCTTGAGCATGTTATAGTGAGAGACATCAGACGTCAGTACTGTATGATGTTGGGGACATGTGGAACTGTAAAAAGTCGAACTTGTGAGAAGAATAAAATGGTCAGTAACGGATGGGGGACAGATGTTAAGGGTATAAACTTACAAATCGTTGAGTCCTACGGATATAATGTGCAGCAGTCATACATACACAATATTGTATCATAATCATCAAACTTGCTGAGACTAGAACTTTGTTACTCCAACTACTAAAAATAGTCACATAGTATGTTAGAAGTGCTAATTATCACTACAATGCCAATCCTTTTATATACAAATCTAC